CATTTTATATATATTTGAATAGTTAATTATTTGTGAAAATTTCAGTATAATTAAATAACAATAATTAATCAAAAACTTTTAATAAGATACGGAAATAAATAAAAACTTTGTTACACATTGTTCAAATATATTAAAAAATTAATTATTATTATTTAAATATTACATTATAATGATTAAATTATAATTTTAACAACAATATTATATTATTATAAATTGTATTTTTTTGAAGATCTTTTAAATAATCTATTTTGTTAAAATGATACAGAATTCAATTTTTGTTTTTTAAATTAATTGATTGTCAGATTGAAACATCGTATTGTATAATCAAAAAAAACTTATTTTTGTCTATTTAAACACGTTTTTTTTGTTTTTGACAATACAATTGACATTAATAAAATAACATGTAAAGTATTAAATAATATAAAAACTTAATAAATTTGTCTATTTTTTTCTGTTTAAAGTAATATTTAGTATATTACTTTGTGTTATAATCTAATTATTTGAAACTAATATAACAATAAACAGTAACAAAAAAGTTAAATAAGTTTTTTATCATCTGTAGAAAGGTATTTTGATAATGTTGTTTTTTAAAAAAAAATTAATTATTTATATGTATATTGTGTAATTTTTAGATTTTTTAACACACATTTTATCAACAATTTTAAAAATTGCATTGATTAAGAAAATTGGGGAATACACCCAACAGCCTCAAAATGTTTAAGATCTTCTTCTGTATATGGTATACATTTATTTGCAATTAATCTTTCTCTTTCTACTAGATCTTCTGCGGAATATCCTTCTATGCCATATTTTTTAGCACATAAAGCAAGTGCAGTTTGTATTCTACTTTCTTCTTTTTGTTCTTTGGCTTTTTGTTCTTCTTCTTGTTCTTGTTCTTCTTTTTCTTTTGCATATCTTTCATAACGAGCTTCGTTTTAATAACATTCTGGTATGTCATGACATGGATAATCACCCGGTCCATCGTAATACATTTTTTAAATTTGAAAGTTTGTGTTAATTCTTTATTAGCCAATTTATTACACATGTAGTGTAATAATAATTGATAATAAACTGTAGTTCAAAAGTCGGTAATGTTGTATTTTTAGTACTTTTTAAAGTTTTTTATATTTTTTATTTTTCCTAAAAAAACAAAAAACAAATAATAGGAAGTAAAAATTTTATTTTGAAAAAAAATACCAATACAGTTAAATTATTTTTGTACAATATCAATTAATCTAAATGTTAGTTACCTTTAAAAACGATATTTTTATTTGATTTGACCTCAATTTGTTACTTCGCATCACAAACTCGATGATAGAGCTCAAATTACACAACAATAAACACGTTAGTAAATTTGGATGGTGTTGTTTATGTCAATAATTACAAATATCAGTTTCGTTTAAATATCATTTTCAATTAAAAACAAACACATGGTTTTCTTCTTTGGACAAAAATATGAAATAAAAAGTTCCTGAAAACACCAAAACAATAAATAAAGATAATATTTCATAATTCTGACTGTTATTATTGTTGTGACAACATGATTAAGCACACTATTTTTTGAACAATGTTTGTGCGCTTGCCTTTTTTCTATTTCTTTTTTAAAAAAATAAATTAGAGCAAACATTTAATAGTTTTGGGTTTTGTTATTCTAGTTATTGTCGTGACAACACCATCAGTATATCAATATTACGTGATACTTTCGCGCTTGTTATTTGTTTTATTTGATTATAAATGAAGGCTCGACAATTAAAATTATTGTCATTAAATTTATCAACTATTTATAATGAAATGCACTTTTGGGATTAGTCACTTGTTTTTCAGAAACACTAATCCAGTTATTTTATATTTTTATATAAATATAATTTTAATACTTTATTTATGTAATACCATACATTTATTAATATAAATGTTATATAATTATTGTTTATAATAGACAACAACATGATATATAAATAAAAAACGATCAATTGATTTCATTTAAAAATACTCGTGCTTTATTGTTCGACTGTTTTATAATCGTATTGTCCTGGCGCAACACATACTCCTCTTTTATCCATATTTGTTCCAGCTTTACACATAGTACACACCACGTTTTTTGTATTACACGTCTTGCAATTTGGATCGAGTTTACAATTACCAGAATAGAAGATATAATTCTGTTATAAATACCCTTTGTATCATCTTGTGCCATCCTACATAAATTTTCGGTTGAAATTTTACCGAATCCCCCATTTTCACCCCACCAAGTACCCCAAGTATTTCTTGCGATAAAGTACTCCTGTCCAGTTTCATCGTCTTTGCCGTATCCAACTAATATCACTTGATGATCTATATTTATATTTTTGCACGTATCTTTTGAAAATGTGAAAATACCACCTTTGTAATGATAAAAGCCTGTTTCAAACGCCATTATTGCTACCAAAACGGGGCCATAATGATGTATTGTTTTCTTTAATGCCAACACCTGTTGTTCGTGGCTACCTGCTTGATTTACTGTAAAAATTTGATATTCTTTATTTCGTAAGTATATCTCAACTGATGCATTTTAGTATCCATGGCGGTTTCATTTCAAAAGAAGCATCAGTTCCATCAGAAAATGGGTAATATTTTTCCAACGAATAAGTTCACAGACCTTCGATAGCAATACCACTATTTCCACCACAACATCTATTATTATTATGACTGCCTGGTATTGGATGTTTCGTATCAATAAATCTTTGTGGAGTAAAAAGCAACTTTTCTATTTTGGTTTCGTCTTTGTTATTTTTGTAATAAGTCATGTTTGCATATAAAATTTGGCCATGATTGGCAATAGCAGCAGCATAACAACACCCACACCCTTTTTGGTCAAGTGGAGTGCCACAAAGATCCCTTTTTGGATGGTCTGTGTTCTTTTGAACATAAGGTCCACAATATGATAAATGGTCTGGAATTACGTCCCCAGTAGGAAGAATGGGAAGTTTACCACTTATTGAAGTTGAATCTTTTATTTGTGTTTTCATATACTTCTGTGGGTTTAATCCCATTTCCAGTGGAGTTAAATCAGAGAAACGTTTAATACCAAAAATTGCATCTGATGGTGTTTTTCGCTTTGAATTTCGTCTGCGAATATCTTTGAGACTCGATTTAAAAATTGAGAGACGAGCAAGACGTTGAGAAGGTGGAGAATATTTCTTGTTGTATTTTATTTCAAATTCTTTGAAGAGTTCGAAATCGTTTCTCGTCAAGTCGAAGTCTGCCAGTGATATTGTGCACAACAACAATCATAAGTACATTTTGACAATAGAGTAAAACAGTTTGTTTTTAAAGGTTTTTTAAGATAAAAATATAAAATATGTTAAAATAAAAAATTAAAAATTTGATGTAAAATGAAAACAAATTAAAAAAATATTCGAAATATTCCAAATGTAATTAAATTTTAATAAATTATTATAGTTATTTTAATAATAAATTTATAATATAAATAATTTATATATTTTAAACATGTTTATATTCATAATTATTTGAAATGAATTAATAACAATGTAATATTTTAAATAGAATGTTATTTTAAATAATATTTTTAATAATAAATTAGCTTTTTTATATATTATTTTGATATTATTTTACTCCGAGCCATGTAATCCAATAACAAGTCAAATTGGAAATGCATAATTAAATTCTTGGTGTTTTTGGATATTATTATAATTAAAAACAAAAATCTTTGAATTCATTATTGAAAACCAAAATAATAAATTAAATATATCTTGTCTTGTATAATTTGATATATTTATTAACACTGTTTTCAATTTATGTTATAATAAAAATGTAATAAATATAAAATTATAATTTGACAAATAAACTTGTTTGAATTGATTATTTTGAACACAAAAATAATAAAATTTTGTTTTTTATATATACGGTGGCTTAAATGAGGGTCTTAATCTGAAAAAGGTTATTAATCTGAGAATTTAGCAAATGATTAATTTGTGATCTAACTATAATAAAGTCAACCAATTATCATATAGGTTCTTTATTATTTACAGCCCATTCTTTATAAAGTTATGACAAAATAACTTCCCAAAAGCGGTTCATTTTTAGACTAATACTAAAAATAGAGTCTTCTAAAGAGTGGTATTTTATGTTTGATTGGCTAAAAATGTTCGTATGTAAAGAATATTATTATTATATTTAACCATTATGTAAGGTCATACTATACTTTAAAAAAAATAAAAATAAAAAGCCAAATGTTATTGTTAGTTATTTTGACAAACAAATTAAAAAATAATTAAAATTATAAATTATAATTGTTATAAATGTTTGCAAAGTAATATTTAAACAAACAATATCAAATTTTTATTACTATTATTAATAAATATATTTTATTAATAAATAAAATAACTATAATTAGTAAATTTTTTTTTCAACAACGTTTTTAGATAAAACGTTACATGTGTTACATAACATTTATATTAATGTTATAATGATTTTTTATAAAAAAAATGTTATTTAAATATATATTTTGCATATTTTGTATTTAAAGTTATCTAAAAATTTATTCAAAATTTTTTCTATATCTTATATATTTATTCACATACTATAATTCCAAAAAACACAATCTTGAAATAAAATATGACTCTCCAAATTATTATAGTGTCTTTGCTCTTCTTTTTTTACGACATGTTTGAGTTTGAAATGGTGCGGCAATGAAATCCAAGTGGAGTGCGTTGATGATAACTTCTTGTGTGATGATCTTTCATACAACAATTATTTACCATTCAAAACCCAAAATAAAAAATACAAAACAATTTATTGCAATAAAATTGCAGTTTTATATGTCGAAATTACAACTGGAAATTTCACTTATTTGGAATTTTCAAATCAACAATCTACTTACGATTTACCTTCAACAACAAAACAATATAAAGGTTTTGTGAAATCTGCTTGTAATGCAGCCAATTGTTTTACTTGTTATGGATCATCTGATAATTACTGCCTAAATTGTAATATTAATTATTATATGATTTATGGTGTTTGTTATTCATGTGAAAGATGCTCAAATACAAATTGTGGAACTTCCACTACAAGTAATAACATATGTACAAGTTGTATAGACGGATATGTTTATAGTAATTACAATTGTTTAAAATGCAACGATAAATGTAAAACATGCAATCCCACATACAAAAATTACTGCACTTCGTGTTATTATGGTCAAAGTGTAACAAACAACAATTGTACCTATTGTTTTGGATGTGAAAATCATTGCATTGATGGGTATAAATGCGCATCATGTGACGGTAATCAATATATTGATTCAGATGGGTTTTGTACAAATAATTGTAACGTGTCTTGTAATGGCTGTACTGGTAGTGGTGCAAACAATTGTATCAACTGTGCAGATAATTACTACAAAATAAATAATATTTGTGTGAAGTGTGGATCTCCGGATGTGTGTACGACTTGTTTGAATTCAGTGTGTACAAGTTGTCAGAGTGGATATTACCTATCAAATAATATTTGTATTATTTGTATTAACAACTGTGCGACGTGCACAACTTCATCATATTGCTTGACGTGTTTAAGCAGTTATTATCTCGATACAAATCATAATTGTCAATATTGCGGTAATCAATGCACCAATTGTGTTCAAACCCAAGGGTGCACAACTTGCAATAGCGGGTATTACCCATACAATCACGTTTGTGCGTCATGTCCAGCGAACTGCAATTTAACATATTGCACGACAACGTCTGGGTGTACACAATGTAATAGTGGATATTATTTATCCAATGGAATTTGCAATTATTGTGGAACCAATTGTGATTTATCAACATGTGCAGATAGTGTTGGGTGCACAAAGTGTATAAGTGATTTGTTTTATTTAGACGGTAATAGAAACTGTCAACGTTGCATTTCACCATGTTCGACTTGTTCAAATGCAACTGTTTGCAATACTTGTATTTCTGATCAATATTATCTGAATCCAAGCAACGCGTGCACTCAATGTGTAAGCCCGTGTCAGAGATGTTCTTCACAAACTGATTGTAAAAGTTGTATTAACGCGAGTTATTGGCTTGACACATCAACCAATAAATGCACAAGCTGTTCATCGCCATGTGACACGTGCACTGGACCAAGTAATGATTCTTGTCTCACATGTGTTGATCATCATTATTTTGATGCAACACTAAAAGCTTGCACATATTGTGGAGATGGTTGTATTGCAGGTTGTAATTATACGACAAAATGCACCAAATGTCAATTGGGTACTTATTTAGATGGCGGTATATGCTACAATTGTAGTACAATCAAAAACTGTGACACGTGTGAAACCAGTAGAAAATATTGTACCAGGTGTGAACCTGGATATGAATTGTTTGATGGGACTTGTTTGTGTCGTAGTGGGACGTATCAAAATTCGACAGAAGGAACGTGTCAAATGTGTTACTTGAAACAACCAAATTGCCACTTGTGTTCAACTACAAATGATTATAAGGCTCATTGCACCGATTGTTATGCACCTTATCTTTTGGAAACAAATCAGGGAACTTGTTTAAATTGTTCAACATATACATATTATGATAATAACACCAAAAGTTGTTTACCCAATGGTATCAATTGTGTCGAAAATGCAAAGCAAAATGTTTGTGTTGCATGCAACAATAATACAAGTTTTTTGAAAGACGACAAATGTGTTGCAATCACCAACAATTGCACAACCAACACCCGTTCGAATTGTGAGGTGTGCGATTTTGGCATTTCAATTGGCACTTCGTGTTTTATACAAAACGAGCATTGCAAATACAACATACAACTCAATGAAAAACAAGAGAGGTGTTTACAATGTAAAGATAGCAACATTCTCAACATAGACAACACTTGTACGACTACAAATGAAATCAATGAGATAATACGAAACAACTTCACTTTTATATGTGAAAATGGATATTTCAAAAATCAAACGAATGGCTGTGAAGGTTGTTCGACACACAACTCTAAGATCTGTACTTTAAATTTGACAGACAATTTTAGTGTGTTTTCATGTCAAAGTGAATATGTGATAAACATTGAAAACAACACGTGTACAAGTGACACCAATTGTAACACAATCAATGGAAGTGATTGTACTGCCTGTGACAAGTTTAAGACTTTCAAACGAACAAAGAATAGATGTGTTAATTGCAACGACAATAATTCACACGCAAATGGTGAAGTATTTACAGACATGTGTGTATGCGTTCAATGCACAAATGATACACTTTTAGTCAATGGAATTTGTGTGTTGAAAAGTGAAGTGAATTGCCACAAGACAAATGGGTACACCTGCATACAATGCAACGAAAAATACACACGAAACAACCAAGATGACCATTGTGTATCATCAGAACAATTTGTGAGATACTCAATGCACACAGTTGTTAACAACACAAAAGGTACTGTTTTTGAATGTGAAACAACACACTTTTTGAGTGATGGAAATTGTGAAAGTGTTATTATTACTAACAAAAACAATCAAATAATTCAAAACTACAAACAAGATGTGGATAATACCAAATATTTGATGAAAGAAATCGATGACAACACAAATTGCAGTTATCAAAACGAGAAAGGGTGTCTTTCATGCAACGATGGATATTACTTAGAAGATAATAAATGTGTTAAATGCGCCAACAATTGTTCGACATGTTTCAATTCAACACTTTGTCTAACATGCAACGACTCAAATAATTTGGTACTCAATAACAAAGGCGAGTGCATTGAAACCAATTTTGTAATCAGTTGCCAACAACCGATGGTAAATGGTGTTGGATGTGCAATATGTAAAGATGGGTATTACTATGACCAAAAGTTTTGTTATAAATGTGATAAATCGTGTGCAATATGTAAAAACTCAATTACATGTTCGTTGTGTGCAGACACATATTTTTACTATAAAAAAGACAGTGACTTGTGTATCACCTATGACAAGTTAATTGGGTGCAAAAATAAGACGTCACATGGCTGTGATGTGTGTCAAACCGGGTATTACCTTACAGATCCGTATTGTTCTAAATGTGCTGAGAACTGTCTCTCGTGCACTTCATTAAAACCGTGTGAGATATGTAATGTCACTGATTACGTCTTAAAAGATGGAATTTGCTTGTATTACACTGAAATTGAATTTTGCACTTCCGCGAACAATGGATACTGCACATCATGTAAAGGAATGAGAAAACCGTCAGATAATGGATTGTCATGTGTGGAAGACAAATTGATTAAATTGAACCAAATTGGTATTCCAATCATAGTCGTTGCAATTGTTATTATCATCATATCAACAATAACGACTTACATTCTCTTCAATGTGTATAACAACAACAAAAATAAAAAGAAGACTCAAAATGTGTGTGTCTTTCAAATGAGAAAATCGAACATCAAATTTGTCAAAATATCGAAGGAAATATCAACAAACAAAACAGAACTGATTTTTGAAAGTAGTAATGAGGGTGGAGAGATACTGGTAAATGAATTTAGTAGCGAGTTGTTGTGTCTTGGTAACAACACGACACATCATATAAAAATGCAATTAAAAATGAAAGAAGGGAATGATGTTTATGAAATCCAAGCCAATCCCTCTCTTGTGACATTGAAACCAAATTATGCTTGCGAATTTGAAATATCTTTAAAACCAAATTTCACATCAAATATTGAAGACAAAATTGCGTGTGTGACTTTAAACATCATTAAAGGGACAGAAGATGTTATTGAAATACCAATCAGAGCAACAACTGTCATGTCATATCGTCTTGATTATCACGAATTGATAGAAGAGAAGAAAATCGGAGAAGGCTCCTTTGGAATAGTTTACAAAGGCATTTTTAGAGGAAATGTGGTTTGTATCAAAAAGATGAAAGAACTGTTAATAAACCAAGAATCACAAGAAAATGAATTTGAGAAGGAAGTTTCAATGTTGGTGAAATTTAAAAGTGAGTTCATCGTCCACTTCTTTGGTGCAGTCTTTGTACCAAACAAAGTGTGTATGGTCACCTAATTTGCACAATTTGGCAGTTTACAAGACTTGATGAAACACAAAACAAGTGATGAAATTAACATGAAACTTCGAGTTAAAATGATACTTGATGCATCAAAAGGAATTCAATATTTACACGACAATGGGATATTACACAGAGACATCAAACCAGACAACATTTTAGTGTTTTCACTTGATATTAATGATAAAGTGAACGCAAAATTGACTGACTTTGGTTCATCAAGAAATGTCAATTTACTGATGACAAATATGACATTCACAAAAGGTATTGGTACACCAGTGTATATGGCGCCTGAAGTGTTGAAAAAAGAGAAGTACAAAATGTCATCAGATATCTATTCGTTTGGAGTCACCATGTTCGAAGTGTTTGGGTGGGAAGAACTGTACGATAAAATGGAATTCAAATTTCCT